CACGAGTCAAAATGCGGCCGCGCGGCTTCGAATGGGAAATCGACCAATAGAAGTGGGGCAAAGGGAAGCGCGTGACGGCAGCGCAGCTCTGGTGTGAAATCGGTCTATGACATTATACCTACTGAAGTCCCTACCCTCCCCAAACCCCGACCCTCCTCAGTCCCCAACATCTCCAGATATTTCCCAACCCAGAACTGGCAACCCTGCCCCCCCCCCATTTAAAAACTAAGAAATAATTATATTCAGCATATAAGGAGGTGGTTTGGAAACAGGTTCTTTCTTTAACTGCCTTGAGCTAAGAGGAAAGGTGGTATGTTTTTAATTGTTAAATAAATTATTTGTGTGTCTTTTCATTTTGCAAACACACGGGTGTGCTTTTCTTGGGATACATAAAACTTGGGGTCACTTATGAGTATCTATGGAACTTTAAGGTGGGGGGATGTCCCCAGTGTTCACAGTCTGCTCTTTAACCAGGAAAAATATGGGGGTGGGGGGACACACATAGAGTGAAACCCACTCCCCTCTCTGGATCTGACATAGATCAGTTTTTGAAGTAAACAGCAGTTTGGTCAGAGAAAAACAAGATTTGAATGCCAAATCCACTCTAATAAAATATTGTGGACATCCTACTTATATTTCAAAAATAAAATGTGAACTGTTTTTTTCTTCTCCTCCTTATTGGCAACATACTATGACCCATATGAAACACCGGTGGATACTGCCTTCCTCTATGGGATGGTATATTGAAGCCGCCATCATCTGCATCGCTCTTGTTAGAATTTTATGATGTTAGGTAGTTGTTTATGTATATTTTATTGTATTTACTGTTTTATTGCTCTTAATGTTTGTTCGCTGCCTTGAGCTGGTTCTCTGGCAAGGCAGGATACAAATTGAAAATAATAAATAATAAATAAATAAATAAATAAATATTAGCCCTATCTTGCTCTGCCTCAGCGGCTGGCTGGGGCATACTTCAGGTCTTCTCCTCCCAGGACTAGAGGTCTTTCATATTCTGGGAGCCAAGCAGGGAGAAGGCAGGTGCAGCTCTGCCCTCTGCTGAGAGCTCTCACATTTCCGCATCAGAGCAACGTGGCATCCCTGGATCGTAGGGTGTTCTACCTCATACGGTGAATTCAAGAAGTACGGGGGAAGCCCTATGGGCAAACTGGTCCGCCATTTCCACTGACATGCAGATTTACCAGGTGCAAAACTGAAGTTCATTATTTTTACTTTAATCGAATGGCCTGGAAAGACACAATGGGAGCAATCTACTTGCACAGGCAAAATAACACACAAGCATCCAGTTTACAAGAGATTCACACTTGCAATATTTCAGGTCACTGAATGGAAGAGGTGACCTCGTATTTGTTTTGTGGCTAGCAAACGATTTAAATGTTGCTTCTGTCACAATCTTCCAAGGCACACTCTCATCCTTAGACAGACATCCTTACTGCATAATGGGAATAAAACTACTTTAAAAGTTGTGATAATTACCGATATTTTTTAAAAAGCATGTAGTATGCTTTGAATAATCAAAAACGGGGGGGGGACTTTACTAAGTATTGACTGGGGCTTCATGGATTGCAGTTCATGCTCTGTGTTGCTATGCTGTATCACCTCTCAACAGCCGATTACCTATTAATAAGCAACTGCAAATGGAGCTATGCCACTGACAGAAGTCATTTCCTGCAGGAGCGCACAGGAGCAGAGCTCCGGCAGTAAAGAGCCCAGGGGGCGGGCACATGCAACAAGCCCCACCCCCTGCTCCCAGCAGCCCTCAATCAGAGCAACAAGCAGCCAGGTAAGTTGTAGAAACACCCCCCGGCCCAAAACAGCCCAGTGGCACCTTTAAGACCATGTTTTATTCAGATACAAGCTCTCCCTCCTCTGAGGGCAGATCTGCACGTTCTCCCCTCCCCCCAATAGCTAGCAATCCAAAACAGTCCAGTGGAGCCTGAGCGGTGGGTGTTGCCTTCTGACACACTCCTAGTGTTGTCAGGGGGTGTGGCATATGCAAATAAGTCATGCTAATGAGTTATGTTAATGAGCTCCTGCACCTCTTTTTCTACGAAATTACCCCTGCCCACTGATATATAGAAAGCCCAATTGCAGATACTCCACATCCACTATGGGAAGGTTAAAAGCAAACAGGGAAAGGTTGGGGGAAAGAATTTCCCAGTATGCTCCCCTCTCTTATGTCTAAAATGCCCCAGTGCTTTTACCTACTACCACTTTTACCATGATGCTTGTTATGTATTGGGACGGAAACAATCCAGGACTGTTCCACCAGAGACTGGCTGAGCTTGGAGCCCAAGAACAATAGTCCACCAGGACTCTGGAAGTAACCAAACAAGAAGTAATGTTATGTAAATAGCCTATCGTTGGGAGTGGGGTGTGTTTGGGTGTGGCAGTTGCAGGCTATTTAAACAGGGCTGCAGCCCTGGAGTCTTATCTTGTTCTTGCTGAAATCACTAATAAAGTAGAGCCAATCACTAGACTTGGGGTCTGATCATCCATGGAACCCAATATTTAACAATGCTAAAGGCTTACTCTGAGGAAGTAACCCAAAGACAATAACTGAACACAGATCATTACAGAAGGAAGGCTGCACCTCCTACTGTCCACGCCCATCAGTGCTGCTCCTCAAATCCCAGAGGTGGCTGGGCCTCCAGGAATGTTGGTACCTCTGCCAATAAAGACAGCCACGTTCAACTTGCCCGTCACGTAGCAAAGTCTGTTTCCAAGCAAAGAGGGAGGGAGATCTCGTGCCATTCATAGGGTAAGAGAAGCAGACTCATAGTTCTCTGAATGGACATACAAGGTATTTAGAACAGGATCATGCTCTCCCCATTGAGAAGTAAGGGAAGAGGACCATACTAAGCAAGAAGACTGACAGCTGATTTTATATCCCTCCCTCCCACTTTCCACAACAAGTCTTATGCCCCCCCAGAGACTGTACAGAAAGACTTCCAGCTCAGCAAATCAAAGACAGCCACCTGTCTTCACAACAGCATAGAAAAAAACCCACTTGATTTTTCAATGCTCTTCGGATCTCCAGAAGCTATAAATACACATATCACTGCAAAGGATCAGTTTTCTTTGGCCCTTGAGTTTCCTAATCCTAATGACATGATTACAGTCTGATTTTGCAGATGACTCACACAGGCATAACCAACACACTGGCAGGACAATAAATATATACTACGTTCTTTAACTCTTCAGTTGGCTTGGGAAAGTACAAAGATCTGGACATTCAAGCAAGTTTACCCTTGCATCCCCATTTGCAAAGCAGGAATTTTCAGGAATGGTGCCCTTTCTAGATGCAGAAGGTTGCAGAACGACAAACACCAACCGCTGTACCAAAAATGCAACATAAAATTTTGGAACTCTCTCCCTCTATGGGTGTCTTCCACCAGCCGGTGAAGACTTTTTTGTTTCATTTAGCATACCCATCAGGGCTCTTTTTGTAGCAGGAACTCCTCTGCATATTTATTTATCTTTAGATTTGTATCCCGCCCTACCCCGAAGGCTCAGGGCAGCTAACAAGGGCACAAATATTAGGCAACACACCCTTAATGTAGCCAGTTATTGGTTCTGGTACTGTATGTTTATGCGTTTTCACGCAATTACTTTACAGTTTTAAAGGTTGTTTATTTAAATGTTATCATGTTTGTCACCTTGGGGGCCCTGACTGAGAATAAACGTGGCACAAAAATGTTTTAAATAAATAAGTGATGATTAATCCATAGCGGGTTTTTTCCATGAGCATCTCATGACATCACTTCCCGTATTCACTGCCAGTGACATCACATGTTGGCTTCCCACTAGGGTTGCCAAACCTCCTGGTTTGCCAGGGGTCCCCCGTTTTTTGGGGGGGGGGTTTCTACCCGAGATGGCCGGCAGGGGAAGCCCAACACCCACACCCACCCATCTCTCTCCCTTTAAGTGTGTGGAACCCGTGTTTCCTCCCAAGCCTGATCTCCGCAAGTTGGCAGGGAAATGCCAGCTTTGTGCTCTTAAAAGGGAAACGCGGCTGCTCTTAAAGGGGAAACGCCGGCTCCTTTAAGTGCAGGGAACCGCGTTTTCTGGAGATCTGGCCCGCCGGGGGGGGGGGGCGGTGGACGTCCCCAACAGGATGTCATCACGTCGGGGATGCCCCGCTCCCTCCAGGAACGCCCCCAAAGTCCCCCGCTGGGGGTGGAAGATGGACTTGGCAACCCTACTTCCCACTGGCACATCCCCATCCCCCCCCTTATTTTTTTCCAGTTGTTCATTGAGATGCCAGTGGGCAACAGGAGGGATGACCAGCGGGGGCTCCCACAACAGCAGGCGACCAGGTATTCCTAAGCTGCCCCGTATTCATGAACACTGCCTTCACAGTCCTTTTAGGTTCATAGGCACTATACTCACAGTCAAACAGATGGACACCGGAGGGGATGAGGCCCGCATTCTCAGTCCTGATTTTCCTCTACACACCGTTCCTTCTACACCAATATGCCAGGTGCTCAATGTGTCCCATCTCTCTTAGGGATGCCAGCCTGCAGGTGGGACCTGGAGATACCCTGGAATTACAGCTCATCTCCAGACTACGGAGATCTTTTCCCCTGGAGAAAATGAATGTTTTGGAGGGTGGCCTCCCTGGCATTGTTCCCCGCTGAGGTCTGTGTCCTCCCCACGTTCCACCTCCAAGTCTCCAAGACTTTCCCAATCTGGATCTGGCACCTCTACCCTCCCCATCCCCCTCTGGTGGCCAAGGGGGACCTGGCAACCCTACCTCTTGCACACAAATGGGCCCCTGACAGTTGCAGGCCCTGAACAACTATCCCTTTTGGCCATTGGATAAAGCAGCACTGCCTGTACCCACACTGCTGTATTTTTTCCCAGTAGGGAAAAGACCAGATCTTCCCCTCTCAGCCTTCCCCCAAACTATTTCTGACTGAATCATCGTACCAAGGAAATACTAATCAAGGGTTAAAGGGTATAACTGAAAAACTGCTTACCAGCTGTTTGTTGAAGTTTTGCACGCACTGCTCAAATTGCTCATCTTTTGTCTCGTCAGCTTTGCCAAGCTTCTGAAGGACCTACACAGAAAAAAGAGAACAGATGTTAGAATCACAGAGTCACAAGGTTTAAACATTAATGAAAGACAGCAGAATTGGGGTGGGGAATAGGCCTGTGCATGACTCCTGAAAACTTAGCTAAATGGTATCCCAATATGTCAAACGTTTGTTGGAAACGTAATCGAAAAACTGGCTCCTTTTACCATATGTGGTGGACTTGTGACGTTGTTAAAAAATATTGGATATGGGTCAGCTTCCATGAACCATCTTTGTAGGGTGAATCTGTTCTACTAATACCTGTAAACATCCTGAAGTATCCATCCAAACTAACTTTCTCAGGCTGTACAATGATCTGACAGATTAAGCCTGGTGCTATTATGCAGGGGGAGAGAAGGGGCAGAGCACCAACAGCTGTCTGGGAATGGTGTGTTCTGGTGCCCTTTGCACTTCTCAAGGGGATGGGTGCCATCCTACGAGCTCAGAGTTATTGAACAGCTGAAATGGACATATTTCCAGTTTTGTACTCATTCTTCGCCATCTGCTGCTTTAGCAAACGTTTTTGTGCTAAAGTGCACTGATTTGGACATGTGTTCCCCTTTTGGACAGTTGCCTAAGCTGTCCCTCCCTGTCTTGAAGAAGAAGAGATTGGGTTTATACCCCACCCTTCACTACCCGAAGAAGTCTCAGAGCAGCTTACAAACTCCTTTCCCTTCCCCTCCCCACAACAGACACCCTGTGAGGTAGGTGGGGCTGAGAGAGCGCTTGACAGAAACTGTTTTTTTCAAGGACAGCTCTTATCAGAACTACAGCTTGCCCAAAGTCATCCTGCAGGTGCAAGTGGAGGAGTGGGGAAGCAAATCTGGTTCTCCCAGATTAGAGTCCGCCTACTTAACCACTATACCAAACTGGCTCTCAAGAGAGAAGTCTCTTGCAAGGTTGGCTGACATATCCCCACGTAATCACAGTATGTCTTCACCTTTCCACTCCCAGTTTGAATTGGAATGCCTACTAAAACTAGAGCCATTATTGCCTGCCTTTCCTTTAAGAGTTTCTTCTCAGGATTTTAAAAGTCTCTGTATTTGGGGGATAGTTTAGTCAGGAGTCAGGCTGGAAGCGGTGTAGAGCGTGCTGCCAGAGCACAGAGCGAGTAAGACAAAAGCACAAACTCAAGAAACGTAGTCAAGGTCCAGTCCAAGTTTAAGCACAGAGTCAGGAGTCTAGTCCAAGAGTCAGTCTGTACAGCAAGATCTGAGAAACCAAGGGTTACTCGCAAGCAGGTTCAGGATCAAGACAAAGGCAGAGTCATTGGAAATGGTCCAAAGAGTCACAGGGCAGAGGCAGGAATTAATATAGCGGTCACAAAATCAGAGGGATCTCAAATTGTTGTTTCCACACCTAACTGTCTCCCTTGGCTGGTTTTTATAGCTATACGCTTAAGGCTCATGCTTGCAGCCAGCTGCTTGGGAGTAATCCTGCAACTACTCAAGCAGCTGGCATCAGGGCAGGAGGCGTGCACTTTTCCACCTCTCCTGTAGTTCTGTCCATAGCCTCCGTCTGCAGCATTCTAAGGGTGTGGGTGATACTGGAGGGCTAGAAACAGTCAACTGAGTTTCACCTGTTCAATCAGGCCTGGAGGGAGTTGGTGGTTCTGCACCAGCTGTTGGCTGTGAATCCTGACTAGCCTGCAGCTCACCTTCCTGCTTGCCAGCTTCTGCTGACTCAGCTGGCAACACGGGGCTCCTCTTCTCCTGAGGAGTCCTTGCTCTCACTGAGCCTCGGCAGACCCATGACAAGTTCTTGTACAGGAAACACTTCTACCCATAGAATAAGGCAATGAGAAGCTTCAAGGTGCTGTAGTGTGAGTGCTGTCACAGAGATGTGACATGTCACTGATTGTCACTACTGACACCCCAGGCATTTTTAGTGTACACCTGCTTTTAAACCTCCAAAGATTTGTGGGATATTTGATGTTCACTAGTTACTGTATGGATTTCAGCACATGTGCACCACATGCGCACACACTGACATGCACCATTCATGGGCGCACATGTGTCTAGAATGATTACGCATACAACTTTCTTGTAGAAATCTCTAAATTCTATGTGATGGGGAGGGGGCCTGCAAGGATATCTGGAACAAGATAAGCTTCTTGAATTTAAAATTGCATTTTCTTCTTTATGCTCAGCTGAACAACATTTACTGGAGATCCCTGGCCTGAGAGACATATCCCTAGCCTCGACCAGAGCCAGAGCCTTTTTAGCTCTGACTCCAGCCTGGTGGAACACACTCCCAGTTGAGATCAGAGCCCTGTGGGACTTATTACACTTATGCGGGGCCTGTAAAACGAAGCTGTTCCACCAGGCCTTTGGATGAGGCAGCGGATCCCTCACCATATCTGGCCTCCCCATACCTACCAGGCTCCCATATCCAGCTTTGTGGACTAGTTCGGTGTAGAGCCAGTTTGGTGTAGTGGTTAAGTGCGTGGAATCTAATCTGGGAGAACTGGGTTTGATTCCCCACTCCTCCACTTGCACCTGCTGGATGACCTTGAGCAGGCCATAGTTCTGTCAGAGCTGTTCTCTCAAAGGCAGTCCTCGAAAGAGCTCTCTCAGGCCCACCTCCCTCACAGGGTGTCTGTTGTGGGGAGGGGAAGGGAAAGGAGTTTGTAAGCCGCTCTGAGACTCCTTTGGGTAGTGAAGGGCGGGGTATAAATCCAATCTCCTCTTCTTCTCTTCTTCTAGTAAAAGGTAAAGGTTCCCTTGCTCGAAAGCCAGTCGAGTCCGACTCTAGGGTTGCGGTGTTCATCTCTGTTTCAAAGCTGAAGAGCCAGCACTGTCCAAAGATGTTTCCGTGGTCATGTGGCCGACATGACTAAACACCAAGGCGCATGGAACGCTGTCTTCTTCTAGTACACCAACTTATATTATTGGATGGGGGCTAGGCCCAATTGTTATCTCAGTGGCCCTCGTGGTGCCACACACAGTTATACTCCTAATGGCCTATATATTATCATATTGTACTCATGTAGTTTAAATGGGGGTATAGATTTTACTTTAATTGTATTAATGTTTATATGTTCTATTGCTATGTTGTAAAATCATTAGAATTAATGTGGAATATTGGAAGTTCAAAGCTAAAGTACTAAATTATCAGGCAGCTTGAGAGTGGAAATGAGCAGCGTTCAGAGTTTGTACACTGAATCTGTCGTTTGTGCTTCAGAATTCACATAATCAGCAGGCACTTTACATCTTTTAACCCAACTGCCTCCTCACCCAGTTTTTTAAAGTGAAGCCAAGAGGACAGTTGCACTAATCCCTATATGTTGATGGAACCACATTGAAATGAAAATGTAATCACAGAATCACAGAGTTGGAAGGGGCCATACAGGTCATCTAGTCCAACCCCCTGGTCGATGCAGCATCCACCCTAGAGCATCCCTGACAAGTGTTTGTCCAGCCGCTGCTTAAAGACTGCCAGTGAGGGGGAGCTCACCACCTCCCTAGGCAGCTGATTCCACTGTTGCACAATTCTGACTGTAAAAACGTTTTTCCTAAGATGCAGCCGGTACCTTCCTGCCCTTAATTTAAACCCATTATTGCGACTCCTCTCCTCTGCTGCCAACAGGAACAGCTCCCTGCCCTCCTGTAAGGTCGAATCTGCATTTGCATTCTTAAATCAGTTTTGTGCTGCTGTGATGCCGTCTTGAAAGTTGTTTGGAGAAGATTCATTTAAAGCGGTGATCAGCTGTTTTATTACCTCCCTCAGCTGATGTTGGCCAATCAGAGAGTGAGAAGAGCAGCCAATCACATAAGCTCTGTTCTCCATGGAAGATTAACTCATGAACTCCCTGACTCTCTGACACAAGCAGCATTTTAAAAAGCCTGCTTTTCTGTGCAATCCCTCATACACCCTTTTCCATTGTGTATATAAATTAGTATGGTGGATGTACACCTCTTGCATCTGATACTCATATGCTGGAATAAGTGTTAGTCTTTGAGGACCCACCGGACCCTGGTTTTATGCAACATGTGAAGTTGTCTTTTGTGTGCTCTGCGGCAGCCCAAACAATCCACATCCTGTACACTACCGCTATTTCTGAAAGTGCCCCTGCAGCTTCACTTTGGTATCACTCAAGCCAGAGTAGCCCTGTGTAGGAAGTGTTCAAAGCATACCCCTCAACAACCCACTTGACTCACTATAAAAGAGTGTTAAAAGGAAACGGCTGATAAATGAAGTGTCTTGATTAACATGTGCTCTGGCTGGAACAGTGGGTAAAATGCATTGTAAAAAGGACTCTTTGGTACAGAAAGAGGTAGGGGTGGGGGAATCCCCTGATTTCATGGGCTTCTATACGCCACTGGCCAACTAGCTGCCAAGGGGAAGCCCTGCCCACAAGAGCGGCCACTGGCAGCCCCTTTCTGCTCCGGTGACAGGTGGGGGGAAGAGAGGGGAGGCATGGAGGGAGAGGCAGGAACCACACAGTTAACTGTGCAACTGCCCTCTCCTCCCCTCACTGTCACGGGGTCTTTTCAAGAAGACCCAGGAGCAGGAAGGGAGGGGGCAGCCATGTGGCCTCCTTACTTGGCCAACAGTGAGACCACCCCTCCCCCCTCTGTCCCCTCACTGGGTCTTTTCTTTTTTAAAAAATAATTAATTAAAATTTCCACCATAATTCTACAACCGTATCCTACAAAACTCAACCATAAATCATCATAAGTATAAACTACTTCTTCTATCCATAGTCAAGTACAACATACAGAGAAAAGATCCAAAATACATCAATTACTACATACTTAAGTCAAAAAAAATCAATAACTCCTTGTCCAATCCAAAGCCTTTTATTGGCATATAAATAAAAATACAGTAATCTAGGTACAGAATCAAATTAAAATTGCCGAATAACATCACAGAGTATCATCATAACAAAACCTAATTCATAATATCATTTATCAGGCCGTAGGGCCATGGCACTGCAGAGAAACTTTGCTGCTATTTCAGTTATTTCTGTATCTGAGTTATCG